GATGTTTCTCCTTCTGGCCAGGAGCTTCCTGTGAATCACACCTGGGTTCACCAGGATGCGATGTCAAGTGACTCCAGATCCCTCCAGGAAGATTCAGAGTCTCCTTCTGATCAGCCTGCCTGTGCCGAGCAGGGAGGCTGTGTGGGAGAGAAGCTCGCTGAACCTCTGGGGGAGAAAGGAGGAGCGAAGGATTTAGGTGAGACTTTACAGGTCCGGGCACATCGTTACCTCTTATCACATTGACACAATGTTTTTCTGTTATGAGGGATCTTTTCTTCCATGTTTGTTCTTTTTAGTTTGCCCCGGGTTGAGAGCAGCACCAGCATGTACCTCTTTTCTGCAGGGACTTTGTTCCTTTGGCAGCGTGCAGTGCTCTCCTTTGGCCTTTGCAGTTTCTTCACGCTCGCCACTTTAGCAGAGCGGCAGCGAGCAAAACTCTTCTTAGCTGTGCCTGTGATTGCATCTGACGTACAGTGGGATCTGCATTAGTGCAGGACACGAGGCTGATAAGGCAATCTGTATAACAGTAAGTGAACAGAGTTGCCTCCTAATGCTGCCTTATCCTTTAAACTCCTGTTCAGCGTGGGAGGAAAACGGAGGCTGTACTGGGTTTAAAACAAATGTTCCATTTATAACTGGTGTTAAATAAACTGTTGGTTTTCCCTCCAGGCTGCGCAATATCTTTAGAAGGGATTTGTGAGTCACAGTTTCCTTATTATAGCCAACGTGCTGGTTACAAACTGAAGCCTTTCAGTCACATCGTGCTTTCTGTGAATCCCTTCAATTAGGAAATAACTCATCTTGTTTCTCTCACGCAGCAGCAGAGAGCAAAAGCTGTAAACTGGATTTCTTTCTTCAATATGAAAGTGTTTTCTCTGAGGCCCTTTCTGATGCCCGAGCTGTGCTGAAAAGACTAGAAGAGTGCAGAGAAATTGATGCCTCTCAAAAGGAGGTAGGTGTGTTTACCTGGGTAATGAGACAAGTGTTTTCTTCACCCTGCTGAGGGCTAAAATAGTTTGTGCCCTGTTTAGGAAACGGTTTCATGGGCATCTGGGGCTCTGGCTCTGGCAACACGTGCTTACCTGAGCAACGCTCCGGAGAGAACCATCTGTAAGAGCAAGTTGCTCATGCATGTAGGTGAAGAAGTTTATGTCTTGCCCTGAAGACGTCTTCATTGTGTTGTAGGAGAGCTCCAGCGCTGATTTCTCTTCTCTTGTTTATGGCATTTGCATCGAGAACTGTATCGACTTGTAAACTACTGACATAAGAGATCCCAGAATAGACTCCCTGAGCCCTCAGCGAGGGCTCGCTGCGGAGCGTCTGCTCTGCTCTGCGTACGGCAGGCTGCTCGCAGGGAGCAGAATGGGGGGGTTACAGGTGCCGCCCTGCGGCGCTTCTCCTGGCGATGTGCTGCTTTAAAAGCAGTCGTGGCTGATGAATGGTGCTCACGCTACTGTCGAAGGGGATGTTTGAGGGGATACTCTGGGCTCTGAACAGCAGTAGCTGGATACCAGCTGTTGTACCGACTCGGAGCCACCACGGAAACAGCAGTTACAGCCGTATTGGTGTAGAGGTGGTGCAGGAGGACATGGAGCTTGGAAGTGATTGTGGTGGGTCCAGGAGGGCACTTGTGCTGGCTGCATGCTGCTGTGCCACCGCAGGGTCTGCGAAAAAAGCTGTGGCCACTGTGGAGTGAGGATGGGTTTGTAGTTGCTCTCCTCACCCTGGCTGTTTGTGATAGAGCATTTTTCACACCAGGCTGCATGAACTGCCCTGTGTACCTCTTCAGGATGTGGAAAAATGAGAGTGTGACTATTTTATGTGCTGGGTCTCCACTTGCTCTGTGGTTATCTGACCTTTTGAAACTGAAGAAATACTATTCCCTATGTTGGGGGGCTGTGATGCTCTCTAGGCTCCCATGTGTTTGCTGGCTCAGGAGCCGTCTGGGTTCAAGTCACTACATCTCTCTGGCACCAGTATGACAGTGGGACATGGGGCTTTTTGGCTTTGGTGGCATTCTGCTTTTAAAAACCCAATGCAACACCTTTATTAGGAAAAAAAACCCACGTATGGCAGCAGGAAGGAGTATTCCCTTGACTGAGGAGTGCAGGTTTCTTTCTGACAGGCCCTTAAATGTTCACAGAGGGAAGCCCCTGTTCCCTTAGCTGCTGATGCTGTTCAGCCCTTAGTGTGCTGAGCTTAACATCTCTCGGGCCTTAGGAGGCGAATGTGGGTCCTAATTTGTGTTTGTAGCAGCAAGCCCAAGCCTGGCTGGTTTGATGAGCACCTATGAGTGCATTGCTCTCAGCATGCCTGCGTGCCTCGAAGGATTAGGTTTTATTACGTTTATTCGTCGCCCTGATCAGAAAAATACGTCAGGTTTAAGGCTTTGTCTATTCTGCACGTCAGCGACTGGAGCAGAGCTGGGGAGGGTGCTGTGCAGTGTGGATGGGCGCTGCCAGAAGGGATTTGGCAGCTCCGTGCCCCCGTGCCAGCAGGCATTGCCTGTGTTGGCGTGCCTTCCCTCGCCTGCTCCGGCTGCCTCCGCGGTCGCAGGGCAGAACCACACCTGCGGAGTGCCTGGGCAGGCGAGCTGCCTTCCTTCTGCCCTGCTTAAGAGTCCCGTTTTCTACTGCTTTGTAGTAACTCTTGATTCATGTTTCTTCAGCACCTCCAAGACCCAGCGGGTAAGGTTTGCAGACCCGTGCCTGGCCCTTTGTGCTCCCGAATGAGCTGTTGCAGCAGGAGCCAAGCGAGAGGTTGTGGAGCTCGGAGACGGTTCGGGTGTCTGACTGCAGAACGGCAGCTGGACAATTTTTCTGCAGCTATAAATAAAAGCTGAATAAATGAGAAATGGATTTTCTTTAAGCCTTCCTGAAAAATCGCTTCTCAGCTGTGACAAGCATGACAAGTGTCGGCCCCAGGGCAGTGGGGGGGAGACAGACTGCAGCCTGTTGTAAACAAGGGCTCAGCCAGATCTGTCCCTCTCTGAGCTCCCCTCTGGGACAAGCAGGACCTGTTGGCACCGGCACCGAGCCTGGGCTCTGTTTCCAGCAGTGAGTAGCTTTCTCCCACACGGGCCTGGTGTTTTCTCTGGGAGGAAACACACTGCTGTGTTCTTAAAGTCGTGCTTAAAGTGCAAGTACAGCTCCAAAGAGCCCAGCTCGGGATGCGTAGTTAAGGCTGAGATTGTGCCAGTGGTAGACATCAATAGTTGTTTTTTTTTTAAAAAAATAGTTTTCCCTCCTTCATTCCCCACTCCCCTCCCTCTTTTTGTGTTGTTTTTGCCAGTCATTTGCTTGAAGTGTCTTAGATGCCTTGGGGCAAGTAAAAGTCTGGAAAAAAAAGCTCTGGAAGCTGGAGAGATGTCGTTTCTTTGCACTGAGCAGCCTCGCGGGTGTGCTTGCCCTGCCATGGGGGAGATCTCTCATGCCCCATGCGTGTGCCTCTTCTGCTCAGGAGCCTTTTGTGGGTGGCTTGTCTCGCTAGGCAAGCAGCGATGTGTTTTAGAGAGCAAAGCCTGGCCAGCGTGGGTGTTTTGCAAACCTGCCTGTTGACGCTGAGGCTGTCCTGATGGTTAGGCTCCTCTCTTTTCAGTGGGATTTTGCCTTGGATTTAGCCTCTGGATTTCTATTCCTGTGCTTGTGAGCTCGTCCTTGCACGGGTGCCTTGTCCCCCACAGCGCTCCTGTCTGCTCCCTTCCAGCGTCACTGCCTTATTTCCTGCTACCTCCAGTGGCGATTCCTTAGGTTGTGGGGTTTTTCCCCAAGAAGGTTTGTGGTGCAGGGCTTATTTTTGGGAGAGCTATTGCTTCTCTCCAAGTTTCATGTCGTGTTCTGCTCCCTGGGCTGAAGAATGCAAATGAGTTGCTTTTCTGTTTAGGGAGATGTGATTTTTGAGGGTGGTTTTTGTTTTAGAGTCTCTCTGTGTATCTCACATAAACTATTCCTATCTAATTTGGTTCTGACTTGGATGAAACCTGCCTGGAAATGAGAACAAGACTGAAATTGCAGTAATTTGGGGAAACGTAGAAGAGCTTTGCTGGTGTCAAGTCTTATCTTCCTGTGCTCTCTTAGAGAAACTCAATTCAAATTATTACACAGCTCATTTGTTCCCTCTACTACCGGGTTCAGATGAAGTGGGGAGTGTTGATTCTCCCATGTAGAATGAATGTCACTGTGCTTGTGGATCATTTCCATTGCCTATAGGCCTGTCCAATTATTGTCGTCCTTCGTTTGCAGCTGCAGGGATTTCTGGAAGTGGCAGAAGAAAGAAGTTTCCCGTTATCTTGTGCATCCTGATTAGGAGTGATAGGTTTGAGGTTTTATTTTGTAGTGGCAGAGATGGAGAATGTGTGGGGATTTTTTTTGCCCCCCTGTTCTGGTGTACTTGTGTGGGAGTTTGGGCTGACCTTTTGTTCCCGTTGTGTGCAACAGGCAGGGGTCCGCGTTCTCCGTCGAGTGTTGCTGGTACTGAGCTGTCTTTTGTCAGTCATCTACAAAGGCAGGCTTGAAAGAAGAAAAGATTGCTGAACCAGGGATGGGAACGTGGTTTTTCTCTGATTATTCTATGCGTGGTGAGAGTTGACTGACTCGGTGGTGTGGCCGTAGCCTCTCTGTGGTCCCTGTGTGTAGAGCCAGTCCTTGTGCTGGGGAAGATGTGAAGATGATACAGAGGTAGGAGACCTTTACCTGCAGAAATTCCTGTTCAGAGCTTGCCTGGGGGCTGCCGTGGAAATGGGGAGGTTCGAGATGAACCGTGAGGGCTGTTCCATGGCGTGTGACCAGTGGGGACACTGAGTTAGGAGTGGTGTTGCCACCAGAACTGATGGCCTCTGCTAGGACCAACCTTCTTGGTGAACATTGAACCTATCTGATGGCATAACTCACACTTAAGCCAGGTCTTGACTTGATTTCCCTGCTCAGAGAGAAGACTGAGCAGTCTCTTGCTCCAGTCTGGAAGCTGGATGTGTGTTAACTTGTGCCAGTTTGGCCATGAAGGGTTTTGCAAGTGTTCCAGGCAGTGGAAACCTAATGGATCAGGCTATAATGCATGGGCACATTATAACTAAGTGGAAGCTGGGATTCCAGCTATTATCAGTATTTCTCCTTGTTGTTTTATTTTTTTTTCCCCCTAGGATCTTTGGGAATTGCTAGTGCTTCAAAGTAAGTCTAAAATGCACTATGTGCTCTTTCAAAATGATGCTAAAAGGCTGTTGTTCCCACTGAGTGATGTGTCCGAGGAAAGGTCTTCCAGAAAGACTATAAATAGCAGAGCCTTTCAGTTTCTGAAAACTCATTTCCATTAACCAAATCCATGCACTGAGAAGGGATGTTACCTGGAGCTCTGGCTAGCAGCACTCTGCTGATTTTAATTTAAAAAAAAAACAACCCCAAACCCAAAGATTAAAAAGAAAAAAATACTGCGACAAAATATCGCAAGTTACTCTTCATCCATGTTAGGAAAACCACGTATTTGGCAGGGTGCTGAGCACCTTTAGGATGGTGAGAGTCGAGACATTTTGTCATTTACGGGATCGTTTTGATCTGGAAGGGGCCAAACCTTGAGAACAAATATGATCTGGTTATCAAGCCTTGTTACAAATTAATGTTTGCGTTAAAAAAAAAATAATAATACTTTTAAGCTTGTTCTCCAGCACGTCTGCGGCATCTCCTTTCTTCCTTTATAACAGAACCCTTCATGTCCACGTCTCTCTGTTCAGCAGCAAAAACGCCGTTAGCGGCTAACAGCTGGGACTCCTGCAGCTCCCCCTCTGTGGATACTCTTTGCAATAGGTCATCGTGCTGTCACGCTGCCCTAATAGATGAGCACTTACACCTGCTAGGAAAAGCAAGTCCACTATCCCCCTGGTGTGGCCCCAAGCAGTTGCATTCAGTCTTTTTATCCTAGAAATAAAAATGACAATGACAGCAGAAAATGGCCGTTCTCTCTCTGGAGCTGGGCTAAGCTCTCCACTTCAAAGGTACTTTTATAGCATCCCTGGAGTCTCTAATAAAGGATGCCTGCTCTGAAAGGCTGGCATCTCTCCTGAAGAGCTGGGGAGCGTGTGTCTTCAGGGGCAATATTTACAGCGTTAAAGGGCTCCAGGGAAATGGGAGCTTAGTTCTTTTCCTTTTATTTCCATAACTGCACGGGCATGTTTGCCTCTGGTTGTTGTTTCGGGTCACTGGAGTGGATTTTGGAGCTCTGGGCCTGCTGAGAGCCCATGACACGCGGTGTTTGTGTGCCTCCTCTCCAAAGCTTTCTCTGGGAGACACAACTCTGCTGTGACCAGAGGATGGAGACTCCTGAAAATGCCACTTAAATTCCCTCTGCTTTCTGTGCAAGTGATCTCTCTCAGTTGTGCAGTGAAATCTCGTATCCCCTGCCCAGGCTTCCAAGGCAATGGTGATGAAACCATGTTTCATTTGGTCTCTTAGACTTACTGGCATTGGACTGTTGGTGCTGGAACCAGTTCCACCTTTGTGGGACTTGCTGGAAAGGCTCCTTCCTGGGGCCGCTAGCTGCAGACCAGAGCTTGAGTTCAATGGTGTGTGTCTATTTGTCATTTTTTTTGTTGTTGTGGGTTTGTTTGCTTGAGTTTTTTTGTTTAGTTCATTTTTTTTGTCCCCTGAACAAAAACCCCAGAATTCTGCTTTTTGTGTTGGTTTGCACAGAGCAGCTGACTCCGTTCTTAAAACCTTCCTTGCGTTTGCCTGCTCTGTCGTAGGCTCTGGCTGCGTGTCTGGCAGAGGCGGGGGAACAGTCAGTGTTCAAGAAGCTGCTGAACAAAGTGAAGGATGCTCAGACCCTGGAGGCTCAGACCCTCGTGTCTTTGCTGAAGCTGTTTCAAGACGTGAATCCCAAGCTGAGAGTGGCTTTGCTGGAGAGGGAACAGGATGACAGCGAAGCCGTGCAGCAAACAGGTAGAGAATTGGGTGCAGTCTCTAGCAAAGTGAGTGGGCAACCTTACAGACAAAGCAGGTCTCCAGAAACCCTGTATCCTTTCTTGGAGGCAGGAGGTTAATCTTAATCACGTGCTGGCCGAGATCCTGAAGCATTTCTGTCCCGCAGCAGCAGGGTGCGGGCAGCTCGGGGCTCTCCCCATCGCTGCCTGGAGGGCTGGATCGATGGCTGCGCAGCCAGTGTGAGTCAGAGCCCAGCTGAGCCTCGGGATTGAAAGCTCCTTTCTTAACTCGAGTCTGACACAAAGCAGTGGCCTTGCAAACCTGGTGTTAACCTCCAGCTTGCTTTATGGCTTTGTGCTCTGTTAGATAAATGAGACGTTTTCCTTTCATAGAGTTTAAAGAGAATAGTAAAGTGGTTTTCCTCTGCTGCTTGTGCTTGGGATGAGCTTTGCTATTCACTTAGATCTTTGACAGAGTCTCACTCACTTCAGGAGCCTGTCAGTTCCTTCAGACTGACTTGTTTCTTCTCTTGTGTTTCTGAATCCTTTTCCCTCTAGAGAGTGCAGACGAGGGAGAGACGCTGACCGCTCGCTTGCTGGGACGCAGAGAGGAGCTGATCCAGAGCGTGACACAGCTGAGCCCCATCGTGGAGTTCTTGAAGGCAGCAGAAGAGGGATTCCTGACTGCCTTGGAGAAGCGGGTAAAAAAAAAAGTCTGAAATAAGGAAAAGTCTGTGAGTGAGGGGGTCTCTGTGTGTGTATCTGCAAGGCAACGTCTTGGCATGGTTTGCCGAGCGCTGTGCTAGCCTCGCCTGGCAACTGCACCTGCCTTCCTGCACAGCACGGGCTGCACGCGTGGGTTGTCTTGGGTCCTTCTGTGCTGAACTGGGGGAATAGTGAAAGCTGAAAGGCAACCTCAAGGCAGGGATGAACAGTGCCTGGCGCAGCCTCAGACTTGGCAAATGGAGCCTGGGGCAGAGGAGGTGCTGGTACTCCCTATAGGCCCTGAAGATGCCTTTTTGTGGCTCCGTAGTGGAGTTTGGTTTCGGCGGAACCGCTAATACCTCTGTGTTGCCTGCTTGCCAGTTGTGTACGTGGTCATCAGCTTGCCTTTCAGCTGACTCTCTCAGCTTTAACTCTTTCATTCAACTCATTTGTCACACAGTTACCTGCAGGAGTAGTGCATCCACTGTCTGGTTTTATTTATTTTATTTACTGCTTTTCTTTTAGAGCGTTGAACGCAGCGGTTGTTGGGGAGGTCTGTTGCTTTCCTGTAAGCAATTACGTTATGTATGCTAATTTGCAGAAGCCATAAAGGACAAAATGTTGTGTATAACCTGCTTTCCTTTGTGTTTTGGGGGGAGTTTGCTATACCCTGCCTGTGCAGCTGAAACTTGCAGGGTGCCTTAGCGTGCTGCGCTCAGTACGCAGCTTGCAGACCTCCTGTCCTAGTTTGTCACATCAGTTAGTTCCCCTGACACAGGATTATAGTAAGTGGAAAGCGCTGTGGTGACGTTAATGATGTCTGCTTTCTGTCTGACTGAGCCTGACCAGAGCCACAACAGGTGGGCTGAAGACCTCTGCCCATCTCGTAAATCCCTCGATTAACATCTTGCTCACTTGCACACGGTCTCTGGTCCAGCGTGGAGCATCTCCAAGCGTGGCCACAGCTTGGTGCAGGAGAGCCAAAAAGGTGCTGCCGACAGAGGCACCCGCCTTGTCCTCGTGGTCTGGGCTGTGACTGGCAGCTGATGAATTTTCCCTTCTGAAAGCAACGTGGCTGAGCCTGGAATGGGGATGTGAGAGGAGAGAGCGGAGGGTGAGCGTATCAAAGGACTTGGCGTCTGCTGGAGATATTGTCGTTGTCAGCAGAGACCTGGGTGAGGGTACCTGGAGCTGAGCTTCTGGCTGTGAAAGCTGCATCACCAGTGGGGAGATCAGGATTTTTCGTATTTCTCTCTTCATGTTGCTTTGGGGCCTTTCTTTTAAAGGCTGCACCGTTGCCCTGCATTCTTCTTTTTGTCTCCATGAAATTCAGTAGTTAAAATGCAGCCATTTTTTTATCTCCCCACTGAAAAAAAGCTCAAAACAACCCAACAATAAAGGAAAACTGTTCTGCCATCATAATTCTGCTCCTTGGGCACAGGATACAGCCTTTAATTGCATCATCATCATCATGTACTGCGGTACTCCTGCCCTGTTTAGTGAAGGGATAGAGTTGTTCAGTATTTCTTTTTGTCCTCTTCAGTCACTCTAAGGTCCATTTGCTGCAGAGCTTCCAAACCCTGCTCCAAATGCAAAATCCTCCTCTCCATGGGATCCCTTCATACTCTTGTTTTAGCCCACAGGTTTCCAGCAAATAACAAATATGTTTGAAGAACGATCCAGTGAGACTGGGTGCGGAGCTTTTTCCCTGCTGTGGCACAGGAAAATAAGGCACAAATCACCAATTGTAGCCTGACCTTGGAGGGTTGCATTTTTTTTATTTTTATTTTTTTCCTAGGCTTGGTTTATTTGTGGTTCTCCCTCTGGCCCCGGACAAGTGGGAAAAGTGCTTAATTATTTCAGAAGTTAAATTGATTAAAGCGCTGGGCCTGTGACATATGTGCAGTTGAGATCTCTAGTGTCTCAGGTGCGGCACTGGGAAAAATGAGCATGGAATTAGCAGCCACCTCTGAAGATTTTGTCTTACCTGATTGATCCAGCGTTGCACTGGAGCTCTGGGCTGGCAGAGGTAGGGTCTAGCTCTCCAAGGGTTCATAAAGACGAGGTTTCTGTTTTTCTCCTCGCAGTCACTGCCTCATTAGCTACACATTTATTCAGCAAGACAAGCGTGAGTTTTACGTGGAACAGCCTTTTTTCTAGGCAACTGGGTTCTTTCTGTGCCTGGCCCAAGCTGTGCACAGAGCAAGTCTCATTTTCTTTGCTGGAAAACCAGTACCTGATGTATTGTGAAGCCTCTTTGTAAATCCCTGTTTTTCTGTGGAACTTTTTACTGGACATTTCTATTTTTTGAGTGCTTTACTGTCAAGGACTGCACAAGCAAATTACTGGCCAGTGCAGGAGCGATCTTAACTGGATGTGCTGGGGACCAGGGATGTCCTGCTGCAAGCAGAACAGGGGGGATGTTTTCTCTCTCACCCAGGGTTGTCAAAAAGAGCCTCAATGTGTCAGTGCTGCATCTCCCACTGCCAGGGAGTCCTCACTTGCCTGGAAGCAGTGGTAGGTTACAGCATGAGCTCCCCAAAGGGATGATTCTCTTGGACCCTTTTTTGTGTTCTCTTAAAAGAAGAATTCAGACTGAGCCATCCAGAGTCAGCTCAGTGAGAATTAGATGGGAGGATATGTCAGCAGGTTCACTAACAGAGTTTTGGCTACAAAAGGACAGATCTTTTAGAAATGAGATAAACTCATTAATGAGATCAGCCGCTCAGAAGAGCGCAGGAGGAGCTGTTGCATTAGTTTCTTTTATGTTAAAGGTAGGAGAACTGTCTGAAGTTTGCATCCTGGATGAGAGAGGAGAATTTGTATGAGAAGTTGCAGAACTTGAGTCAATGAATAACTTAGAGTATTAGGATCTGCAGGAAAAGGCAGGTAAGGAAATGTACTTTAGAAGCACAAAGAGAGTCCTGCGATATGTCAGGCTGCTGGGCAGCACAGCCTGTACCGAGACAAGTAACAGACGTTTGTGTGGTCAAGTAAAGAAAAAGAATAATTAGAAGAGATGACCCTCAAACTCATGACTAAGCCTGGGGACAACTCCAGGAGAGACACAGAAACAGAAATTTCCTCCAGCTGAAGTGAAACCACAGCTCAAAGGGCATCCCCCAACAGACTGGAAGAGCTGACATCTGTGGTTATGAGGATGACAGCAAGGTTTATCACTGTATTTTCCAAGTTGACCGTGGTCACTAACAACCGATGACCAGGGCAGATGTGTGAGAGAGGGAAGCAGCTCTCTGCTTGCACAGAAATATGTGTTGGAACAGGCTGGAGGGTGTGTGCAGCTGCAGCGCTGCGTGTAAGCAAAAAAAATGGGATTAAATGCAGAAAGGGTGCCCAAGTAAATTGTTTCTGCCTGACCTGGAATCTTTATTTAATGAGATAAAAATGGGTTTTTCTGCCTCGATCTAAAGTTGCGCAAAGCATTTGAATTTCATGCGAGGAAATTGTTAAACTGGAGGAAGTGGTGATATTGAAAAAGGCTGTATCTTATTGGGAGATAACCACAGATTGTGCTGACGGCAGGACTGACAGGCTGGAGCAAGGTTACTGGTGGGATTCTTGGCACTTGCTTAATATTAATGCTGATGTTATTGACACAAAAATACCAAAGCATGCTTGGCAAAACTTGCTGATAAGCAAAACTGGCATCTTTTTGTCCACGCAGAGGAGGATCTGCAAGAGGGAGAAGAATTACGTGGCGGCAGAACTAAGTCGTGAGAGTTGAATGACGTGATAGTATGAAGTGCAGGGCGTGCGTTTAGATGGAGTGACGAGAACTCAGGGTCATGGCCTCGTCTGAAATTTCTGCGTGTGGTTCCAGTCTTGTTGAGAAAAGAGGAGTTCGTGTTGGAGCAGAGACAGATCTGCAGTCGCAAGATCCAGGGGAGTGGAGAAGCTATTTTATGAGAGGAGCTGCCTTATTTAGACAAGTGAGATGAAGGCTGAGAGGGAATGTGATCGTGCTCTTATAAAGAAATTGGAGAGAAAGGATAGAGTAAACACCTCAGAGAGTTTAGAAGGATTTCTAAGCACAAAGATAATGTTGGCACATGAACAAATGGGTATACGCTGGCCATGAATAAATTTAAGCTGAAAATTAGAAGAATCAACAGGGGAGTGAGACTGTGGAAGAGGTTTCCAGCCAGGAAAAGGAGCAAAAATGTAACTAGTTTTAGGACAGGTCTTAATAATTTTATTAATGGGACCGTGTCATCTAGTGCTGAGGACAGCAGGGAACTGGACTGGTGACCTACAGAGTTTCTGGCAGTCCTATGTTTCAAATGTTTGGGAATGTAGTGTTTGCCGAGAGCAGGTCAGCCTGTATTTGTCAACTGGCTTTCCCTCACATGAGCCTTGTAGGTGTTGTACTGGCATATTAGAGCTTTTCCAAGCTCTGGTGTTTGCATGTCACATAAGAGGTGTCTCCTGTGGCCTCGTCACATTAATTAATAGGATGCTTATTTAAATAACGAGAGTCTTTTTTCTTCTTTTTTTTTTTTCCTGTCTTTCGATGACAAGCAGAAAAATTGGGGAGACAAGGGAAAAGAAACTGCCAATTTAAAAAGTATTTGCTAAAAATATTAAATGAAATGTTGTCCTGAACCGTGTCTTTAAGTCTATTTCCTTTGAAAAAAAAATGGTTTTTGCTTGTCAGACGCTTCCAAGAATGAGACTTGATGGAAGAACCCACTAGGGTAGTTTTCAAGGTGACACATGTCAGATATACCCGGGACGTGTTTAGATGTTCCTTTGACAAGCACCCCATAACTCCTCCCTGTTAATCAAATTAGTAGAAGCAGTGGATATGAATTTATTGCAGTACTGAGATATTGTTCCTGTTTCTCTGATCTCGATTCAGAGTTTGTAGGAAGCTCTCATAAGCAGGTTTTTGGCTCTTTCTTTGTCACAGGTGGTTTTGGATTGCTGTGAAGGCAGCTCGCGGAGGGAAGCCGTGGACAATCTGCTCAGGAAGGTGGATGAAGAGAAAACCCTGAAAGCAGAAAGTTTGGTCAAACTTCTGGGGGCTGTGAAAGCGTCATTCCCTGGCCTCCACCTTCTGCTTGACAGCTTGGTGGCAACAGCAAACATCTCTGATGGCAAAGGTATGGGTATACTAAGCTTTAGAGCTGGAGGCTCGGTTCAGGGAGTTGCCAGGAAGTTTGGGTGCTTGCCTGGACTTGAACGTGCTCTTATGATCTTACTTCAGTGTAAGGGAATGGGATGTCCATTTTATTCAAACCAAAATGGTCTGGGAGCTCTGAGTCCCTGCTTTGCAATGAGATGAGCAGGGTGGAGCAGAAGCCTGTTGGGCTCCTTCTTTGGGTTTGACACTGATGGGCTAGAAACTAGGAAGTCACCTCTAGGAAACAAGAGAACTGTTCCCTCCAGCGTCAAATTACTTTTGGTTTGGGGTCACTTAAAGCAGCAGCAATGTATGTCTGCATAATAAATAGAACTGTTTTCACATAATAAATGCTTCATAGCTGAAGGCATCATTGCCAAACTCTGGTCCATTGGTGACTTTAACTTATGGTACTTGCTGGCTTTGAAATCAAATACCTAAAGCTTCCCCAAAGTCATAGATGCCTTGATGTTAAATACAGACAGTGTCTTACCTGGCTGCTATCTTTGTGAATTCCTTGTGATTGAGGAAAAAATCGTGGGGAAAACTTAGTTGGGCCATGCCCTTTTCCTTGATCCAGGTGACATTTCTGCACATCGTGGTCACTGGCGCGTGGTCTCCTGTGTGGAGCAGAGTTGTGCTGATGGGAGTTGTACGCTTAGTGTCCCCGTTAGATATTGTCTTTGACAGCTAATCTCCTTTTTGTTTCAGTGGGATTTAGTGTATGTTACCTGCCTGTGATGGTTCAGGGATTCATGAGTCCTCACCTTTTGGCTGGTGGGACAGCCCTTCCAAATTTGGGTGGGTTTAGGCACACCCCTGAGTTCGATAGAGAGGCAAATTTCACCAGCTCTGAAGTCGCATAAAAATTAAAACCTAAATTAACATGCAGTGAAATGTAAATGAGCGTTTAATAGAAAGCAAAACTGTGCTCATAATGCTGATAATTTCCTCTGTAGCAAACATTCCCGACAGGCAGTTGGCTTTGTCATTTGTTAAGCACGATTGCTTGCTTGAAACACCAGACTCCCAACATAGTTAATTATCTAGTGGTAATACTCGGTTCAAGGAGGAGCGTTCATTAATTGCACAGAGCTGAATCGCCTCAAATTGCAGCTCGAACAAACAGAAGAACAAATATTTCTTAGCGTGGAAATTAAGAGGGAGGGAATAATGATTTGAGCCACTGACAACGGCCTTTGATGGCCCGAGCTGTCCTGCTAGCAGAAGGACATTTGGGACAGCGGTGCAGGGCATTCTCTGCTCATGGAGCTCCCTTGGTACAGCAACAGAGCCAAGAGAGCATTTGTAACAGCTCAAATCTGTGTAATCAAAGCAGAAACATTCCGCTGGGAGAAGGGAGGAAATATTTTGATTTATAAGCCATCTCCTGATCCATGTGGGGCACATCCAAGTCATGCCTAAACCCCATCAGATGGAAAGCACGAGTTTTAGTGGAGGTCTGCGTGAGGCCGGGGCTATCCTCGGATGAGGCAAATTGTGCCTAGGAATGCCTGTTTCTCTGCAAAAGGCAGGATGGGATGTCTGTAATCTGGGAGAGAAGAAATCCTGAGTCGTGGGAGAACCATGCCTGCCTTTTGAGGTTGTCACTGTCTTTTTCAGCAGCATGCTTTGCAAAACCTGATCTCCTCACTTGAAGTTATACAAGCAACAAGAAATGAGCTCTGCTAGGGTTTTATGGTGGGTGTCAGCGCTGCAATTCGTATAACCAGTAGTTGTTTGCTGTTTCCTATGCCCTAAAGAAATCACTCCTGTTATAACAGCTCCGCTTCAGGAGTGCGCTGGACAAAGCTAAAACGAAGCTGAGGCCTTCAGATTTGTCTTCTTAAATACGTTCACTTTTATTTTCGCCTTCAGTGGCCACCAGCGAGAGCACAGCCATTGAGATCATCCTGCGGCACAGCAAGCTGATCTCGGAGGCCATCGAGCAGAGAGCAGACCTGGAGGGACTGGCTCCGGGCGAGGCAGGACTCGCAGAAGCAGTAAAAGAGGTGTGAGGGGATGCTCGTGGAGAAAACGTGGTTCAGGGCTCAGAGGGTGGGCAGGCCATAGCGTGCACTGAAATAGGGGACACCACTTCAGGGTGGGGAAGCCCTCAAAAGTTGAAGATGACCTTGTGCTGAAGTGAAAGTGTGTTGGGTGTTTTACGTAAATTCTGCAGGAGTCTTTCACTAAAAGAAATCGCCAGTCACGTTTTTAGTTGGTGGAAATGTGGGGATTCAAACACAGCAAAAACTGTTTCAGCTCTGCAAGGGTGCTGAAGTCCTAGAGTAAGCAGAGCTGCCAGAGTGGGCTTCCATCTGAGCTGTTTGCTCCAGGACGTAGGGAAATGAAATGCTTCTAGAAAATGCCCTGAGGATGGCACAATTGTGTGGCATCACAGAGTGTCTTGCTTGTTGTCCTTTTGATAAGGAAAATGGACTGTGTTGGTAGCAAACTGGCCTTCTCCACCAAGCAGTGTGCAGTTACTCGTTCCTGTTCTGCTTAGCTACTACTAGTGATTTGAAAGGGTAAGGTACGTATGGGCATGCACAGATCCTGTCCTTGGTTCTCCTTGCAAGTGGCTGGCTGAAGGAGATTTGGATTTGGAAGGGAGAGGAAAGCCCTGGATGAGCTGTGTATGGAAGACAGGTTTATGAATTAGGTGAGCTCGTAATGCTGTAAGGCATCGAGGAACTGCTCTTTCCATGGAAAGGTGGGTTTAAGTGAGCTAATACCAAAACAGAAAGTCTGAAAATGTAATTTGTTGTAATTTTTTTTAATCTGGAAGTTCTGTCACCTCATGCAGAGACATTGGTTGAGGGGCAAAACCTGCATGGAAATGAATTTCTTTTCTGGTTTCTCAAAGCAAGTTCCCAGCAGATGAATTAGAGATGAATTAGAGCAGATTAGAGCCCTCCTTCCCAGACCATCTCGACCTTTCACAGCCCAAAATCTCTGTCATGTGATGTTTTCTTCTTGTTACTTCTCCAGCTACTGAGTATTTCTGCTCAGAAAGAAAGTTCAGAGGCCTCCTTGAAAGCAGCTCTGAGCACAGCTCAGGAGAAGTCTGTCCCGGCCATCAAGATCTGTCAGCTGCTGTGCAACGTCCACGAGTCCTTCCCGGACTTACAGCCAGTGATGCAGGAGCTGGGACATGTGGGTAAGAAAAGAACAGGCTTTCATGCTTGTCTTGTGCAAAGATGACCATGATAGTACAGTTTGTAGTCCTAGACTATTTTCTGAGTCAATTTTCTTTTAGTGCCTTAATTTGGTCTTGCTGTGTATACACTTTACAGAGAAATGACCCCTGTGAGGGTCCCACAGCAGTAGGGGCGTGTAGTGTGAATGAAACATGTGCAGGTAAGTTTGGTGAACTCCAGAAGCGATAACCGTGTGTGAGACCCTGCCCTGAGCTGTGGGATGTTTTCCAGCTGAGCCAAATTCTATCTCTGCATCCATCATTTGAAGGAAGAATGCTGAACAGAATTTGGGGCTTTAATGAAAAAGCTAACAGAGGGGCAGGAGCTAACTGCAGGTTTGCATTCTTTTGAAAGGGATGCAAATGTGACTTGCTTATTCTGTCTGCTCCTGTATATTTTTATTGCATCGTGTTTCCCAGTGCATCCAGCTGCTTTGGGCTGCAGAGCCCGCTGGGATGTACACAGTGTGATTTTTATCCAAGCACAGGCACTGGTGCAGCTCAATCCATCCCTGTTTACTCTTGATGCCAGAGCTCCTTAGCTCACAGCACAGCGTGGAAATACCAGCAGATTGCTAGGTAGTCAGAGTAAGCAGCTTGTTATTAATATCTTGGTTTTAGGAGTAGAAGATTTAACTGCTTTGCCTGAAAATTTGGGTCGAGGCCATGATCAGGTTTTTATGACTAAACACAAGTCTCATGGCTTTCACACTCGCCATCATTTTGTGTTTGATGGCAACAGGCGAAGACAAAAAGTTCCCCATGTGCTGGGAGAGGGCAGAGAGTGACCTGCCCCTAGATCACTCTCTGCACCCTTAGGTCATTCTTGAGCAATGAGGAAACGCCACTGGGGTGAGAGGTGGGACTGGGTGACTGGGGGCAGTGCACGTGTTGGTGAAATCGAGGATCGGGATTACTGCTCTAGCTGTAGGGCTCAGAGTGTGGCAGCACATGCGCTGCTCCCCTTTCTTGACTCTGTGGCCTTAGTGGCCTCCCTGAGAGATGTCCTACACTGTCAATCCACTATTTATGCCTGGTTCAGATCTAGGTCTTGTCTTCTAAATCTGCCAAGAGCCGCCACTAATCCAGCTGGCTTTTTCACCCAGTTGTGGCTCTGTTGAGGATTTCCAGAGAAAAGGCAGTTCCTTCTCATCTGCCATTCCTTCTCTGTCTCCTTCCCATGCTGCAGGCACTTGTCCCGCTCCCTTTGACCCTGTCTGACCAGGGCTGATGCCCTGGTGACTCTGGAGGAGGTAAACCAGCAATGATTGCTCGTGCTTGTGAGTGCGGAGTCCACCTTTGCTCCTGGACACTTTGCAGTGCTTTACCAGCGAGGGACTTGGGGAATCAGCTAGATTGCTCTGGCAGATGCCTGCCTCTCTGGCACCAATATCAAAGCGAGCAGACTGCTGTTACTAAGTGTCTTTGCAAGGCTTCAAGCCAAGGTTGAGACGAAATCAGGCAAGAAGCGACATCAGAAACAAGAGCCCTGGAAAAATGGTATTTACTTGGCAAAAGCTTATATTCTGTATGAGGTGTCCAGAGGAGGATTGACAGTTAGCAGCCTCTTTTTGGCATCCTGCAGATCTTTACACTGAACTTCTCTATCTGAATTTCTAGACTGTTCTGCTCAGCTCTGATACCGCTGCTCACCAGCCTTAAACGTTGCAGGTGGCCTTATGGATCAAGAGCCGTGTGGCTCTTGGCACGAGATATGAAGGATAACTGTGGGCCTCATGTTTGAGAGATGTGAGCTTCCACTTGAAACAGAGGAGAGCTTACATTTCTGAAGAACATGTGTGCTGCGTCGAGGTGTGTGCAGTTTGCATTTCCACTTGAAAGCAACAGCTTTTACATCTCTGCTGCAAAAAAAGAAAAATTCAAAAAAATAATCTGATACCTAATTTAGGTGAGCTGAAGCTCCTGGAAAGCATTAGGCATCCCTGCGACAGAAACTGTCTGCGTCCATCCCCAACCACATTCAGCATCATCAATGTAATGAGTTGGTTTCTTTGGTGGAGGTACAATATGAAATCTGTTGTCTTCTCCTTGGGTCCCTTCTGCAGTTGGAACACTTTCTCTCTGGGTAGCTGGTGCTTGTAAGAACGAGGATCGGCTCTTCCAGCCAACTCCGTAACCTCCTCTCTAGCCAGCTGCTTTTCAGGTCTATGCACAGTCACTTCTTGGGAGATTGTTTGTCAAGATACGCCTCACTTTCAGATTTCTCACAGAAGTGTGTCAGGAACTCCAGCAAAAAGGCTTTTCTGGTCAGTTTTTCTACCTTGATGTATTCAGGGGTTCATGGGTCATCTCTTGACATGCTAAGATTTCCAGTTCTGTTGGAATATGTCACCTGGTTTCTAGTTGTTTGGAAATCCAGGGCAATATCATCCTCCCTGAGCAGTATTTTTCTGAACTCTTCCCATAGCAAAGAAGGCAGAAATGAAGTTTGCAACCACAGGCTGAATTTTCTGTGCATTGGCAAAAGAAGTCTGCACTGGTTTCCATGGCCACACAATTGCTTGGTTCTCATTATAGCAAAGAAGCCAAATATATCTGTTTGTATTTTGATTTCTTCCATACCTACCTTCCCTGTGGGTCTTTTCTGTGGAATTTTCCAGCTTGTGCTTTTTGAGATGATGGTGATACTGGGACTCAGAAAAGCATTAGACTTTCTAAGAAATGAGCGTAATGAGCAATTTAAATACCTCAGGGCCCTAACCAGAAGACTCAGAAGGGTCGTAGTGAGATTATCTGTTCTCTTTCAGAGAGTTTGCATTTGGAAAGTGTTCCTTAGATTTCTTGTGATTAATAGCTGAATAACCACTCTCAATGGCAGACTTAGACAATATCATACCTGAGGCTCAGCTCTGTGAGCTTTTAAGCACGGCTGTAACTTCATGTATCTGAGCAAGGCAGATGCTTGGAAGCAACAGTTGTTCTTATCTGAGGAGTAAGGTCTTTGGAGAATTTGGCCTTGGCTTTTGCTATCTCAACCAGCCCCTGGTATGTGTGGGTGAAAGAAATTGAAGGACCACTTTTCCAAGCATTGTACCATGCATGGTCGTGGCCACCTTTGGGTGTTGCCGTGCAGGAACAACTCTGAGTTGGAGCACTCTGGAGGTGGAAGACCAAGGGGCTGGTGCCTGGTCCTGTTGGTCACCTCTGAAACAGGAATTACTATTTCTGTAGGTCTCTTGACTGAGGGAAATGAGGAGAAACCTGGAATCAGGAAGTGGAAAGTGAACAGTGAATCCCAAGTTGAAGCTCTGGACAAAGATGAAGACAAGGCGGGAGGTGCCAGTGCCAAGGAACTGGAGGAACCCCAAGAAAAATCTTCTTCCAAGAAGACTTTTGTCTGCAAAGCCTGCGATAAGACTTTCCACTTCTACTGCCGCTTGAAGGTGCACATGAAACGTTGTCGAGTGGCCAGGGGAAAGCAACTCCAGTGCAAGGAGTGCAGCGAGGTCAAATCGACAAAGAAGGATCTGGAGAAGCATCAGCTGGAGGTCCACGGCGTGGTGGGGATGGCCAAGAAGAAGAAGAAGAAGCGGCTCCCTGTGGTGTGTGACATCTGTGGCCGAGAATTTGCTCATGCCTCAGGTAGGGTTGGTGGGAACGGGGGTGTTTGGACAGAAGTCTGGACAGTTTGATAAAGTGATAGTCTGAAGTCTCCTCCTCCTCCCTGCAGCTCTGGAAGCGCCGCGTGTGAGAAATGCAGCTCATCTCATTTCTCCTGCCCCACTGAGCACAACCACTTTCTGATTAGCTCTTCCCTAATTGGTTTTCCACATGACTCATCAAGGAAAAGTGGGGCTACTGGCAAATTTAAAAAGCCTCCAAAAATAATCAAGCTGTTCCAGTTCTGTGGCTGGTTTAGCAGCACGGGTAATAGGAGTTGAGTCTCTTTTGCACTCCTCTGTGGCACCTCACAATATCCTGGTGGACCTCTGGTCTGGAGGATGCTGGTGGACCCATGGTGTGGGCTGGTAGACCTCCAGGTTGGGTGGGACGGTGCCTCTGCAGCAGGGTCAGGCAGGGCTGATGCCGGGTCCCACCACGGCCACGCCGGTGTCCCACCTCCCTCCCCAGGGATGCAGTACCACAAGCTGACAGAGCACTTTGACGAGAAACCCTTCTCCTGCGAGGAGTGCGGCGCCAAGTTCGCGGCCAACTCCACGCTGAAGAACCACCTGCGGCTGCACACGGGGGACCGGCCCTTCATGTGCAAGCACTGCCTGATGACCTTCATGCAGGCCTCAGCCCTTGCCTACCACACCAAGAAGAAGCACGCTGAGGGTGAGTCTTCCTCATGGGAGCCCAGCCGTGGGCTTAGCTTGCTCCATCCACCTCTTTGTGCCCTATTCCTTCATCTGCCTCCTGGCTGCTTCCCCCATCCTTTGGAGGGACCAAGGCTGCTCCCAGATCTCCATCACCTGCACGATTTGGCCCACAGTTCCTCACTCTTGTCTTTCCCCCATCCTCTTCTCCAGGTCCTCTGCTTAGCCACCTAATTAGCAGTTTGCTCTCCATTAAGGGGATCTTCTTCTGCCTTCCTTGTTTTTCTCCGGAGTAGCTCCTCTGTGTCCCCTCACATCAAGACTCCTGTGATGCATCCTCCTCCCTCTGGTTAACCTGTTTTTTCCTGTCCCTCCTGCTGGCTGAATAACACACAGTTTTTCATGCCAGTCCTTCTCCTGCCCGTACACTCAGCTCCATGCCCTGCTGGGCCTTAGACATGCCTTTTCCAGCTCATGGGCACAGAGGATGCATCACTGTGTTCGTAATAAATACACTCAGCTGTGTTTCCCACTGGTGCACGGATGCAATGCAGTTGGGCGATTAATTTTGAATGTGAAATGCTTCGTCAAAAAGTGTGCAGTATTGCCAGATACTTGAGATTTCATACTCCCTGCGCAGGTGTGGTTTTCACCAGCACCTCTAGGACCTTTTTGACCCAGCGCTGAGATGCTGTAGGCTACCCTAAGAAAGCCAATCCACTTTACAACCTCTTCCCTCTCCCTTTGAAATTAGGCGTAGTCCAGACAGAGCTCCTGCCCCGTTAGGTGCAGGCTCTCACGCTGGCTGTCACTGCAGGGAAGATGTACGCCTGCCAGTACTGCGACGCCGTGTTCGCCCAGTCCATTGAGCTGTCGCGCCACGTCCGCACTCACACGGGGGATAAGCCGTACGTCTGCCGGGAGTGTGGGAAAGGCTTTCGCCAGGCCAACGGGCTCTCCATCCACCTCCGGACCTTCCACAGTGAGTGTGGCCACCTGCATGCCCAGCTCTGGTAGCCCAGCCCACGAGGCACGGCTCCTGCGAGCTCACGGCAGACCCATCTGTGTCAGCAGAGGCTCGTGCAGGTGTTGCTGGTGCCTGTGGGCTGGCTAGGTGTCTCACAGTGGGATTTTTCCCTCCTAAGAAAAGCAAAACTTTAGTGCTTCGATACACTATTCCAAAAAAAAAAAAAAAAAGTGACAGGGCTGGCTTCCAGCAAACCTCAGACTTCTGAGAACCCACCCCAGGAAGCTGTAAGTAAGCAGGAGCAGCAACATCTGAATGCAAAAGTCCAGGGCTAGTTTTCATCTGGGAAATACCAAGCATTTCTTTCCCTTTTATTTTCTCCCTCTGTAAATTCCCCTCTTAATTTATTTTTTTTTCCGCTTGATTTCTTTGCCCCCTGTGCTTTTCGTCGCATTTTTGGGGTGGCAGACATCGGAGATCCCTACGACTGCAAGAAGTGCCGGATGAGCTTTGCCACCCTGCAAGAGCACCGCAAGCACGTCCACGAAGCCCACGCCCGGGAGTACCACCCCTGCCCCACCTGCGCTAAAGTCTTCAGCGCCCCGTCGCTCCTGAAGCGCCACATGGTGACCCACGTTGGAGGAAAGCCCTTTAGCTGTGAGATCTGTGACAAAGCTTACCAGGTGAGCTGGTGAGACAAGGATTTGGTCTCCTGTGCTAGAGGTTGTCTGCTCTTGTGCCAGGATATCTCTGACCGTGAGAACGGGAGTGTGGAGCAGTTTGTCGTCCATAGGGAGAAGCAGTTTTCCGTAGGAAAAAGGCAGATCTGTGGAGAGTGATGGGCAGTGACTACAAAGGGCCACATACCTGCCTGTCTGGATGCTCAGGAATCTCTTTCACCTAAGTTTCTAGCTGCTAAGAAGTGCAGGAATAAAAACACTCGTGTTGCAAGTGGCGTGCCTCAGTGGGAGTGTGTGTGGGGGCACTTTCCTACAAGGAAACGAAAATTCACACCAGAAAGGCCTGCAGGGAGTGAGATGAGAATGAGGGATTCAGCGGTGTTCAGCAATTCAGGGGCAGTGGAGAACTGGGAGTGATGTGTTAGTTCTTGTCCTGTGAGAGAATGAGCAGGTCTTGTACCTGCCGAGCACAGCCCCTCTGTCCTCTGTTGCTTTCCACACAGTTTTTTTGCTGTCATGAAGCCCCTGGAACAGGGGCACTGGATTGTAACCATGATTTGATCCTTATCATTGCAGCAGTTGTCAGGGTTATGGTATCACAACCGGACCCACCACCCTGATATCTTTGCAGCTCAGAATCATCGCTCCTCCAAGTTCTCATCCCTGCAGTGTAGCTCCTGTGACAAAACCTTCTCCAGCACTGCTGCTCACCGAAAACACGTCAAGGCAGAGCACACAGGTAATGGCCCATTCGTCAGCAAACGAAAACAAGTGGTGATTGCTGGTAGAGAAGCAACAGTAATAACTCTAATAGGACGAGGTTGCATATGCCATTTACCTACAAGTCACTGTAAATTCTTTGTGTTCTGTAGCAGTTGCCCTTCTGGCAACTCTCATCTCAGTGTCTTGCAGCTCACTTGCTCTTAAGGGCCTCTTCTCCTGCCTTTTCTCCAAACATGTTCCTCATGTCTGTATGCATGTGTGCTGTTGCTAAAGAGCTCTCGTCCAGAAGGTCTCTTGTAAGAGACCTGGGGCGCACTTTTTTCTGTTCTTGGCTTTGTTTGCAGATGTGAAGTTCCACGAGTGCGAGACGTGCAAGGAGCTCTTCCCCACACTGGCTCTCCTGCAGGTCCATATGAAGTGCAGGCACTCAGGTCTGTTACATTTTCTGATGTTTCTTTTAGTCGTGACAATTACTGCTCCTCTCAGTGAGAGATGTCTAAGCAGAAAGTGCAGATGGATATGGTAAGGAAGGAGAGTGTGAGGAAACAGAAAATATGGATGGACTTGGGAGAGCATTTGGTTTAATGGGGCTGTGACGTGTTTGTTAAGCTTCTACAGCCGTTGGAGTCAAAAAGGGATCTGGATTTGCTTGTTGCAGCGGAGAGGAGAGATAAGTGCAGGTGAGGAGATGCCAGCATAGAGAAATGAGGAACTGGAACCTCGAGTGTTGGGATTTGAGGAGGGTAAAGCTAATGGGAGGCTGGAGAGGAAAAAAAAGGGAGTTTAGCACCAGAAGGATCAGAGGGAGACCTGGACTTGGGTAGATCATGTCAAGGGCCTTTTGATGAGTGGGCGAGCTGCAGCAGTACCCTGAGGGCAGAGTGCTCTGGCAGCAGCCCAGATGCTACAAAAGGTGGATCATCAGGGCAGTGCATGGACTAGCAGGATCGGAGATGGATCAGGAGATGTTGGAGGGGGCAACTGACAGCAGCCCGGAGAGTGGGGAAGGAGAAGACCTAGATGTAGCTGTCTCTGAGAGGAGAGAGCCCCTGGGGCATATAATGGGTTTGCAGTAGCTGAGCCACGAGGTGCAAGCCAGGCCAACAAAGAGCAGTGCTGGATGGTGCAAGAGGGAGAAGAGCTGTCTGAGTAGGGACAGCAACAGCTGCCATCAGATACAGCAGCCTGGTTTCTGAATGCCAGGGAGCTAGAGCTGAAACAGATCTGAACAGCCACAAGCTCTTCAACAGGCAGTGGTGTAGCCAGAAGGGGCACGGGTACAGACTGTGCCCAGGGGGGTTTCAGCCCTGCGTGCCGGGGCCGTTGGCAGCTCCCTGCTCCCTTAGGCTGGCCCCGGCCATCACAGCCCACGCTCAGGGCAGTGCTTCTCCCCACAGGCTCCCGGCCATTCCGCTGCTTGTACTGCTCAGCATCCTTCCGCTTCCCAGGGGCCCTGCAGAACCACGTCACCAGTGAGCACTTCAAGCAGACGGAGAGCACCTTCACCTGTGAGCTCTGTGGGGAGCTCTTCCCCTCCCAGGGCGAGCTGGACGGGCACTACAGCACTGAGCATCCCAAGGTGGTCTTCTCCCAAGCCACCACGGCCCAGATTGTGCAGGTAAAGACTGTTGTGTGCTGCAAACCCTGTGGTTGTTCAGCCATCCTCCCTCTTCAACCCTCTTGGTCTTCCCAAATCTACCCTGTGACTGCTGTCACTTTTTCTGCTCCCTGGTTCCCCCCTTCTTAGAGGGGTCCAGGATGCAAGCCTCCTGGCCCACAGTGCTCTGGGATTTCTGTGCTAGTGTGAGGTGGGCTCGCTGGAGGTGAAGCAGCTCAGTCGTAGTTTTCAGAAGCTGAGGAGGAGGGACTGATAGTGAGTGCAGAGGCGCCAGGTTACTCCGAGGCTGTTTCTTTTGCTGGAGGCCAAATGCTGGGCTTGAACCC